CACCTTGCCACTTTGCTGAATTTGTTTCCTAGCTCTAGATTTTCTGTGGATTTTTTAAGATACTCTATTTATAGGAACATGTATTCCCCTAATATAAACAGTTTTACTTCTTCTTTTCCAATATAGATGCATTTTATTTTTTATTCTTCCCTAACTGCTGGCTAGAATAGCTGTGGTGAAAGTGGGTATTATCTTGTCCTAATATTAGAAACAAAGCTTCAAATCTTTCTCCATTGAAGAGGAAGACAGAGAGAGGTCCATGGGAGGTACAGACAACAAAGATGAACCTTTTTGCACATTCAGTACTGCGTTGTCAGTGAAGGCAAACATTGATATATGGGTAAACAGGCTGAAATATTAGGTATGTCTATGCAGGGGGGAGTGTGCCCAAGACCGTGTATATGGTTGGCAGACAATGATTCTACAAGTGTATTTGTATGTACTGTAAGAATCCCCACATATATAGTAGAGCTGACAAGGGACAAAGTTGTAGTCACTTCTTGGCCATAGCCAGCTACCCAGAGGGAGCGAGTAATTGGACCTGTGGGCTCAGGACCATAGTTGCAGGGGACATCAAGCTCAATTGGCATAACATACTACACAAGAACATTGTTCCACATCCTACTTTGGTGAGTAGTGATTGTGATCTTAAAAGCTTGCAAGCGGCCATCTAGACGGGTCTCTCCTTGTCCAGAGCAAAGAAGAATGAAGAAACCAAAGATGCATGGAAACAGTCACTCCAAGCGACTGGTACACCATGCAATACTCAGCCTGTATGACTATGAGACCAGAAGAACTAGATGGTGCCTAGCTACCACTGTCAACCACTCAGAGGGGGATCTATGTAGGAGATCCTGGATAGAGTGCGACAACTATGTGGAACAAAAGTCAAAATCATTATTAAAAAGAAAAGGAACCAGGTTTGCTGGTCTGATAGAGCCTGGTGGAACCACTGAGACCACGACCCTCAGCTGTCCTTCAGGTCTGAAAGTGAACCCGCTCTTGTGGCTTCCAGCCAAACAAAACACAGGCATATGAACCGAACATTTACCTTAGCTAGATACACTCCTTGGAGAGAACAATCATGGGAGAACAGAAAGGCTGTTTATGCACAGGGAGACAGCTCAGGGTGCAGGGTGCATGGGAGGGAAGGACATAGGGAAGAGGTAATTATGGGGAGGAAGTAGGAGGCGAGCTATTGCATTGTGAGAAATTGAGTCAATGTCATGAGACAAAGTGTATGTGAGCTGTTGTATGGAAAGTGAATTTGCTCTGTAAACTTTCACCCAAATCACAATAAAAATTTTTTAAAAAAATCTTTCCCCACTGAGTATGATGTTAGTTGTGGGGTTTTCCTAAACATTCTTTACTGTACTGAAGAGGTTTCCCTTCTATTCCTAGTTTCTTAACTATTTTTATCATAACAGTGTTGAATTTTGACAAATACATTTTCTGCAATTAAGATTATTATTTTTATTTTCTTGTCTTTCATTTTAGCAATGTGGTATATTACATGGAACAATTTTTTTATGTTGTACAACTCTTGAACTCCTGGTATGAATACCCTTTGATCCTAGTGTATAATCTTTTTAATATGTTGTTGGATTCACTTTGCCAGAACTTTGTTGAGGATATTTGCATCTATATTCGTAAGAGATACTGGTCTACAATTTTCTTTTCTTGTCATCTTAAGTTAGGTTCTTTACAGAAGTAAAACCAATGAAGCTTATTTGTGTGTGTGTGTTTGTGTGTGTATAAACACATACACACATACACTGAAAAAGACAAGGGATTTATCACAAGGAAATGGTGCACATGGTGCAGAGGCTCGCAACTATCAAGTCTATGGGTCAAATCAAAATGGAGGCTTCTCCTGACTCACATAACTGCAGAGGCTGACAAATCCAAAGATCAGTGGGTCAGACTGCTGGTCCACAGGCTACAGAGGCTAACAAATCCCAGGATCAGCAGGCAGTATAGCAGGCTGCTGACTCAAGTCCCAAGAACCAGAGGTCAGATGATAAAGGGCCAATGCAGTGAGCAAAAAAGCCAGATTTCATTATGGATGTGATCACATTGTATCAGATCTCATTGTGAAAGTGATTATATCATATCAGATCACAAAATGGGGAATGACCATATCATCACATAACTGCCAAGCTACTGAGAATCACGACCTAGCTAAGTTGATACACGATCTTAATCAACACACTCGTGATGTCTTTATCTGGCTCAGGTGTCAGGGTAATAATGATGGTCTCACAGAATTAAGTTAGTAAACGTTCCCTCCTAATACCTCTGGAGATTGTGAGGTTGGCACAGGATGGGGCAGTGTTTCATTCTATTGCACAAGAGGTCGCTATGAGTCGGAATGCGCTTGATAGCACCTAACAGCAACAATGCTTTTGGAAGAGTTTGATAAAAGTTTATTGGAAGAGTGGAAGAAGGATTGTTAATTCTTCTTTAAATGTTTAGAAGAATCCAGTGAAGCCATGACATCAAAGTCTTATCTTTGTTGGCAGGATTTTTTAAATCACTGATTCATTATCCTTACTTGTTATCAGTCTGTTGAAATTTTTTATTTTTCTGGAGACATTTTTAAGTACTTTGTATGTTTCCAGGAATTAGTTCATTTCATCTAAGTTATCTAAGATGTTGTATGAATTGTTTGGAGTAGTCTTCCATAATCATTTTTATTTCTATAAAGTCAGAAGTAATGCCCCCACTTTCATTCCTGATTTTAGCAATTAGAGTCTTCTCTCTTTTTTCATTTGTCAGTAGCTAAAGGTTTGTTGATTTTATTGATTTTTCCAAAGAACCAATTTTTTGTTTCATTCATTTGTTCTATTCTCCTTTTCATTTGTCTCCACTCTAATCTTTATTATTTCCTTCTTTCTGCTAGTTTTAGGCTGTTTGCTCTTCTTTTTCTAATTCCTCAAGGTGTAAAGTTCAGCTATTGATTTGAGATCTCTGTTGTGTAATGTAGGCATTTAGAGCTATAAATTTCCCTATAAGCACTGCCTTTGCTATGAGAAGCATTTGCTTTAATAGCACAAGACAGCACCAACTCGAAATGTCTATGAACAGTGTTAAGGAATGGAATATATTGATACATTAAACAATAAAATAGTGTATATCTGATTTGAAAATACGTTGTTAAATGAAAAAAACCAAGCAGTAGAATGATGCATGTGGTATGCCATATTCTAAATAAATAAGGGGAAGTAAGAATCTATATACTCATAATTGCTTGCATGTGCACGTAGAAACATACCAACTAGTAAGAATGATTACTTGTTGGCATGAAGAATGGGAGAACAGAGTATAAGACTGAGACAGAACACCTTTTATATTATAAAATTTTGGACAGTATTACCTCTTCACAAAAATTAAAAGGAATTCTGGTGGCACTGTGCCTAAGGCATCTGACTGCTAACTAGAAAGCTGGCAGTTCAAACTCACCAGTCCCTTCACAGAAGGAAGATGGAGCAATCTACTTCCAAGAAGATTTACCGCCTTAGAAACCTAATGGGGGTCCGCTATGAGTCAGAACTGAGTCAACAGCAGTGTGTTTTGTTTTGGTTTTCACAAAAATTAAACTCCATTGCCACTGAGTCAATGCTGACTCATAGTGACATAAAAACTAAGTAAATTAATTAAAATAAAGTCTAATATAAAAACAACTAAGAATTTCTGTTTATCAAAAGACATTAAATGAGGTGTATAGTCAGGTCACAAACTTAGAGATGATATTTACAATTCAAGTAATTAAAGGATTAGTGTCAAAAATACATTAAAAAAAAAACTACAAATGAGTAAGAGAAAGACAAACAATCCAATGGTATAGATGCAAGGTAATGAATAAAAGACATTAACAAACATGTCAATACATGAAACAATGCTAACCTTCATTAATAATCAGGGGACTGAAAATGAAAATACTCAGTGATACATCACTCCAAGTAGACTGGCAAAAAACTAAGTTTAATATTAGGGACTGTTGGCAAGGATGTCAATCAGGGGTCAGCAAACTATGGCCTGTGAGCCAGTTAATTGTTTTTGTAAATAAGTATTACTGGAACATAGCCACATTTATTCCTTTATGTATGGTCTACAACTGCTTTCTAGCTACAACAGCAGAGCTGAGTAACTGAGACAGAGACCATGCGATCAACCATGTCTAAAACATTTACTATCTGGTGCTTTAAAAAAAGTAAATAGTTTAGCATCATCGACTAAAGCTCAATATGTACAGGACATATTGAACAACCTTTACAGCAACACTACTATATTAGCAAAACACTAGAGAAAACTACCCAATGACAAGAAAATGCATAAATAGTGGCATAGTCAAACAATAGAATAGTGCAGGGCAGTGAAAATGAGTGAACTACAGCTATATGCATCAAGATGGACGCTCAAAATGCAATACTGGAAAAGTAATAATAATAACACAAGTTGTAGAGGAATATATATAGTCTAATTCCATTTGTATAAAGCTTAGAAATACGCAAAACCACTTTCAAAGAATATATACGCATACAGTCAAACTATGAAGAAAAGGCATAGATTGATAGATAAAATTCAAGATTGTAACTACCTTCTGCTGGTAAGTGAGGTAATGGATTTGGAAAGAGAAAAGTGTCAAAGGTATTGGTACTAATCTATTCTTTAATGTAGTAGGGAAGGTATTTGTTGCTACTATTCTCTAAGTCTCAACATACATAAATATCCTTTATGTATGCATTTGATATTTAATGATGTTTTTAATTCTACTCAAAAATCAATCAGAGGAAGACTAAATGCCACAAAATGAGTTAGTTCTAAACATTAACCATCAAGCTACCAAAATACCCAGAAGGTTAATAAAATTTATTAGGAATCTAAGAGTTGGGGAAAATACATAAAAATGATCTATAAAAAAAATATTAAATGAAATGATAATGATGCTACTTAAAACTGAACTTAATATTCAAAGTAGTAATAAAAAATTTACTCACCTTCCTGAATTGCCATATCCACAGTTATCTGAGAAGCTGAATGTAGAAGTTTTTGGTAATTCTGTGCATTTTGGTCAAACAACTGTACAAGAAAAGTGCATGTCTTTTCATATTCACATCTACTGACAGTACATAACTGCTCCAGCTGCTGAAACACAGTAGCGGTATCATCCAGTGGATCATCTAAATTATCTCTACAAATATATAAAAAACAAGTTTACAAAGGGCATTATTATGATGTACTTTTTCCCACCAAAAAGAAACCTTATTTATATTAGATAAAAATTTTATGATAGATAAACAAAAATGAATCAGAATGGAAGAAATAAATACATGTGAAAAAAGGAGCTTTGGTGGCACAGTGATTAAGTTCTCAGCTGCGAACCCAAAGTCTAGCAGTTTAAACTAACCAGCCAATCTGTGGGAGAAAGATGTGGTAGTCTGCTTCTGTAAAGATTACAGACTTGGAAACCACAGGAGGCAGTTCTATTCTGCCCTATTTGGTCTCTATGAGTCAGAATGGACTCAGTGGCAAAAGGTTTTTTGGCATATTTGAAGATAACATGATTACCTACACAGGAAATGCCAAGAATCTACAAAAAGAAAAAAAAAGCTACTAGAACTAATAGATGAGTTTACCAAGGTCACAGGGCACAAGATCAACATACAATTCAACTGCATTGCTATACTCTCAATGAGAGTATAAGGCCAAGAGCTGACTGTGGAACAAACCACTGACTGCTCACATGCAAGTTGAAGTGAAGCTGAATACAATTATAACAAGTCCATGGCAGCCAAAATACGACCTTGATTACATCTCACTTGAATTTACAGACGATCTGAATAACAGATTTGATGCACTGAACACCAAAGACTGAAAACCAGATGAACTGTGGGATGACATCAAGATCATCATCCACGAAGAAAGTGAAAGGTCATTAAAAAGACAGAAAACACCAAAATGGATGTCAGAAGAGACCCTGACACTTGCCCCTAAATGGAGAGTAGCTAAAGCAAATGGAAGAAATGACAAGACAAAAGAGCTGAACAGAAGATTTCAAAGAGTAGCTCAAGAAGACAAAGTCAATTATTACAATGAAATGTGTAAAGACCTGGAGTTAGAAAACCAAAAGGGAAGAATACACATAGCATTTCTCAAGCTGAAAGAACTGAAGAAAAACTTCAAGCCTTGAGTTGCAATACTGAAACATTCTATGGGCAAAATATTGAATGATGCAGGAAACAATGAAAGAAGAAGGAAGGAATACAGAGTCACTGTACCAAGTACCAAAAAGAATTGGTTGATGTTCACCCATTTCAGGAGGTGGCATATGATCAAGAGCCAATGATACTGAAGGACGAAGTCAAAGCTGAAGGAATTGGTGAAAAATAAGGCTCCAGGAATTCATAGTATATCACTGAAATGTTTCAACAAACAGATACTGTGATGGAGGCCCTCACTCATCTCTGCCAAGAAATCTACAAGACAGCTACCTGCACCACTGACTGGAAGATACCCACATCTTGCCCATTCCAAAGAAAGGTGATCCAACAGGATGTGGAAATTATCAAAAAATATCATTAATATCACACACAAGTAAAATTTTGCTGAAGATAATTCAAAAACAGTTGCAGCAGTACATTGACAGGGAACTTCCAGAAATGCAAGCTGGATTCAGAAGAGGACATGGAATGAGGGATATCACTGCTGGTGTCAGATAGATCTTAACTGAAAGCAAAGAATACCATAAATACGTCTACTTGTATTTTATTGACTATGCAAAAGTATTTGACTGTGTGAATCATAACAAATTATGGATAATACTGAAAAGAATGGGAATTCCAGAACACTTAATTGTGCTCATGAGAAACTTGTACATGGACCAGGAGGTTGTCCTTTGAACAGAACAAGGGAATACTGCATGGTTTAAAATTAGGAAGGGTTTGTGTCAGGGTTGTATCTTTTCACCATACTTATTCAATATGCATGCTGAGCAAATAATCCAAGAAACTGGACTAAATGAAGAAGAACATGGCATCAAAATTGAAGGAAGACTCATTAACAACCTACAATATGCAGAGGACACAACCTTGCCTGCTGAAAGTGAAGATGACTTGAAGCACTTACTGATGAAAATTAGACTACAGTCTGCAATACGGATTACACCTCAACATAAAAAAACAAAAATCCTCCCAACTGGACCAATAAGCAGCATCACGATAAATGAAGAAAAGATTGAAGTTGTCAACGATTTCATATTACTTGGTTCCAAAGTCAACACCAATGGAAGCAGCAGTCAAGAAATCAGATGGCATATTGCACTGCTGCAAAAGACCTCTTTAAAATGCTAAAGAACAAAGATGTCTCTTTAAAGACTAAGGTGCACCTATCCCAAGCCATGGTGTTTTCAGTAGCCTCATATGCATGTGAAAGCTGGACAATGAATAAAGTAGACTGAAGAAGAGTTGATGTTTTTGAGTTGTGGTGTTAGCGAAGAATACTGAAGGTACCATGGACTCCAAGAAGAAAGAACAAATCGGTCCTGGAAGAAGCGCAGTTGGAATGCTCCTTGGAAGCAAGAATGGCCAGACTTTGCCTCACCTACTTTGGCCATGCTGTCAGAAGGGGCCATTCCCTGGAAAAGGATATCATGCTCGGTGAAGTGGAAGGTCAGCGTAAAGGGGAAGACCCTCAACTAAATGGACAGACACAGTGGCTGCAACAATAGGCTCAGGTATAGCAAGGATTATGAGGATGGAGCAGGATTGGGCAGGTTTCATTCTGTAGTACACAGGGTCACTAAGAGTGGGACCCAACTCATCAGCGCCTAACAACAGCAACAGTCTCAATGAACACCTAAAACTGAAATTTCAAAGAAAGTATCATATAAAGGTACAGAAAACATAAAATACTGATTAAATCTAACAAAACACATGGAAGACCGGAGAGTAGAGGGACGGTGTGTGTGCAGGGTGACAGCTAGAGGGGCGGGAGTGCATGGGAGGGAGGGACGCAGCGGGGAGGTGGCTGTGGGGACGAGGTGGGAGGATGGCTGTCGCATTGTGGGAAGTTGTGGCCGATGTCATGACATAGGGTGTGTGTGAGCTGTTGTATGGAAGATGAATTTGCTCTGTAGACTTCTACCCAAATAACAATGAAGATTACAAAAAAAAAAATGGATGATCTGCATATTGAAAACTACAAAACACTGATGAGAAAAGTCTAAGAAGATGTAAATAAATGAAAAGATAGAAATATTCATGGTCTAATAAACTCAAAATTGTTGATATGTCAATTCTCCCCCTAAATTAAGATTCAATGCAATCACAGCCAAAATCCCAGAAATTAGAAACTGAAATTAGAAATTGACAGGCTGATTCTCAAACGTTCCTAGAAAAGCAAAGGAACTAGAATAGGCAAAACAATTTCAAAAAAGGAAAATCAAAGTTAAGGACTCACTTTACCTGATTTCAAAGTTTATTATAAAGATACAGTGATCATGAAAGGATACTGGAGGAAGAGTGCACATATAAATTAATCAGAATTGAGAGTCCAGAAATAGAACCACACACATGTGGTCAATTAATTTTTCACAAAAGTGTCCAGGCAATTCAATGGAGAAAGGATAATTTTTTCAACAAATGATGTTAAAATAATTGGGAATCCATATGCAAAAATGGAAACTTGGCCAAATAAAAATATTAACTTGAAATAGATCATAGACTTAAATGTAGATCCTAAAACTATAAAACATTTACAAGAGTACAAAAGAAAATCTTTGAAACTTTGGCTTAAGCAAAGATTTCTTAGATTGGACACCAAAAGCATTTAAAAAAAAAAAAACATCGGAGCTCTGGTAGCGCAGTGCCTAAGGCACTTGACTGCTAACCAGAAGGCTGGTGGTTCAAACCCACCAGCCACTCCTCGGAAAGAAGGTTGGGCAAACTACTTCTGTAGTGATACCGCCTCGGAAACCCAAGAAGGGGTCTCTATGAGTCGGGTCCGACTTGACAGCACGTAACAACAACAATTTGGACTTTATTAAAATTTAGTATTTTGCTTTTCAAAAGACTGGTAAAGAAATAAAAGGCTAAGCTATGAACTGGGAGAAAATATTTGCAAAACACATACATGATTAAGATGTGTGACCAGAACACATGCCTTTCAATTCTTGATTAAAAAAAATTTTTTTTAATTTGACAGGTAATTTACAAAGAATATATATACATATGATAGTAAGTACATCACTAGTCATTATTGCACAACTATTAGACTGAGTAAAAATAACAAAAAGACCAACAATTGATAATATCAAGGGCTGGTGAGGACACAGAGCAGCTAGATCTTTCATATATTACTGGTGGAAATGCAAAATGATATAGCCACTTTGGAAGATAGTTTGGCAGTTTCTTATAAAGTAAATGCCAAAGAACTCACACCAAAAAAAGAATACACAATTACCATGCAACCCAGGAATCCCACTCGTAGGTATTTAACTCAAGAAAAATGAAAACTTGTGTTTACATAAAAATCTGTACAGGAATGTTTATAGCCATAATTTCCAAATTCATAATTTGGTTTTATTCATAACTGCCAAAATTAAAACACCCCAAATTAAATTCACCCCAAACAGGTGAATGGATAAACAAATTATGATATATCTACAAAATGAACTAGTACTCAGCAGTAAAAAGGAAAGACCAACTGATGTATCAGGGAGGATTTCAAATATGTTATATTAAATAAAAGAAGGCAGATGAAATGGCTACATAATGTGATTTCATTTATATGACATTCTGCAAAAGGTAAAAACTATAGGAGAAAAAAATAGATCAGTAATTGACAGGGGCTGAAGATGAGAGGGCTGACTACAGAGGAACCCAAAAGAACTTTTAGAACTTCTTGATTATGATGGTAGTTACATAACTTCATGCACTTATTCAGACAACTTACATTCCTGTACACTAAGGGCAAATTTTATGGTAGGTAAATTATATCTCGATTTTAAAAAATTATTAAATGCAAAAGATGAAACTAAAACATAAACATTTAGCTTTCAGTACCTCACAACTACGGCAACAGATTCCAACCGAGAAGTGATAAAGGCCTTCGTGATTTCTGGTGCATAAGTGTCTAATAAATGGGGTTCAGTAGATTTCACAAAAGGAACCGATGCTACCATCCGTTGCCACAGCGTTAATAAATAATGAACACTATTGGGAGCAAATTCCCAATGCTACAAAGAAATGAAGCAAAAGTTACTGAAAATGATATTTTGTCTTCTTAGAATAAGAATTACAGAGGCATAACTATTACACGTACATAGTTAAATGAATTGTTCTTCTGTTAATATACGTAATAAACATTTAACATAGCAAATTTTGGAATACAAAGAAGTATAAAGAAACACTCTCTCATTACTCTACCACCCAGAAATGATCACTGTTAAAAAGTTAGTGTATTTCCTTCCAATCATATTTTTTCCATGCGTATTTTTCCAGAGTTGACATTGTGAAGAAAATAAGATTTTATAACCTCTCCTCCAGATTTATAAAACATATTTTTCCTGTAAAAAAATATCCTTTTATTTCTTCAAATGGATTTACTACAGCTTCTTAGTCATTATTCCATTGTTAGATATTTAAGTGATTCCTAAATTTTTATTACTATAAATATTACATTTCACTTTTTTACCTAACAGTTTGTAATGAAAATTTTTGCAAACTACCCAAATTAATGGACAGTAAAAAACAAACAAAACCTCCCACCAACCAATACCAAAAAATTATTTCCAAATGTCTACAGTTTAATATCAACTATATATTTTTACTTACCTGGAGGCTAGTAATTGTAAAGTTAGCTATCAATCTGATGACCTCAGGATATTCTTTCACCATAACTAATTCTCCCAGCTGATAATTTGTCTTCAAACGAGCCAAAAATCGACAAAATTCATGATAATTACCTGGATCAGACAAACCCTAAATTTTAAGACCAAAAGAAAGGCTTTTAAACATAGTTAGAAACAAACCAAGCTATCAACCTATTATACCATGAATGCCAACTGTATCTTATTAAGTCTCTCAGTTTTCATGGGTACTTATGGTATTTTGTGTCACTTGGGAGATAACAATGGGGCAGGGGAGTGACACCTGCTGGATTTAATGTTGTCATCAGTGCTTAATAATAGACACTTCAAAGTAGAGGCTCTGGAATAAACTTTGCACCATGATGACGGAATTAGAATTACACCAAAAATGTGTGTGTGTGTGTGTGTGTGTGTGTGTGTGTGTGTGTGACTGTGTGTTAGGGTTTAAACAGAAGTCAACAAATGACTTAAAAATATTTAAGATGAAAATTATGAATGGGCTCTTGAAACCATGAAAAAGAGAAGTACTTACTGGACTTAAATTGTGTGTGTAAACAAGTAACACAAATTTCTTTTAATTCAACAAGTACTTATTGAGATCCTGCAGTCACTGTGCCCTGAAGCAACTCCCATCTCTAAGTACAGGCATACTAGTTTTATTGTGCTTCCCTTTATTGTGCTTCACAGATACTACATATTTTACAAATTGAAGGTTTGTGCAACCCTGTATTGAGCAAATCTATTGGTGCCATTTTTCCAACAGTATGTGCTCATTGTGTGTCTTTGTGTCACATTTTGGTAATTCTCACAATATTTCAAGCTTTTTCATAATGCTATTGCAGACTTGATAGGCTATAGTATAGGTAAATATAACTTTCATATGCACAGGGAAACCCAAAAAATCATGTAACTAGCTTTATTGCAATATTTCCTTTATTGCGATGGTCTGGAACTGAACCCACAGTATCACTGAGGCATGCCTATAGAGTCATTCAAACAATGGAGAACAGAAGATTTAACAATAATATCTCCAAGACACAGAGGTGACTTTTTGGAGAGGACAGGTTAAAAGGGAAGACTAAGAAAGGTATCCCTAGTTTTCTATAAGCCCCTTGAAGACAGGGCACATCTGTTATTAGTCTGAGTACTTTGCACTAAGCACTGTACCTGGAACAAAGTAGAATTCAAAATCTATCTGTTTAATCTCTCAGGAAAGAGTTTCTAATTATTTCATTCACATGAGTTCCATGAAAGCATATAAAACAGTGTCTAATTATTAAGGGCAAATTTCAGAAAGATATTTTGTATGCATAGGTATTTTTATATACACTCTTCTAATACTAACATGGGAGCTCTGGTAGCATAGTGGCTAAGACACTTGCCTGCTAACCAGACGGCTGGCGGTTCAAACCCACCAGCCACTCCTCGGAAGGAAGGTTGGGCAATCCTACTTCCGTAGTGATACTGCCTCGGAAACCCAAGGGGGGTCGCTATGAGTCGGGGCCAACTTGACGGCACATAACAACAACAACAATATTAACATAATCAATATAATATCTAAATTAACTTATACAGCCATTAAACATTAACATAAAAATCATTTAAATCTGGCAGTGGCATACTATCTCCCCATAGTGGTTGATGACAGTAAATCAAACAACTAAAATTTTTAAAGTATATTGGTAAAATCCCAGTTAACAGAAAACAGATATATATGACAGCTATGCTAACAATGAAAAGATAAAACAACCATATAGTAACATATAAAATATCTGTGAGAATAACAACACACACAACATTTTTTTAGAGCAAGCACATTTCTTTCTGTAGAGGACTTACATGCCTCTCCAGAAAGTAACAACCACAAGACTTAGATAAACCTCTTCAATCATCATTTAACCTTCAAAATCTGTACCTTCATTATAGATAAAAAGCAGCGCTGGTGGCACAGTGGGTAAGGCATTGGCTGCTAACCAGGTCAGTGGTACAAACCCACCAGCTGCTCCATGGAGGAAGATGAAGCAATCTATTTATGTAAGGATTACAGCCTTGGAAACCTTATGGGGGTCGGTATGAGTCAGAATCGACTTGATGGCAGTGAGTTTGGTTTCATTACAGACATTTTAACAAAAAGCAAAACAGAAAGTGAAACAACAAATTTTATCTAGCACTGCAAACCACTCATTAGTAATCAATGGCTTTGAAATTCTCTGAGATGAATATTACCAAAGACGTTCTGTCCTTAAAATAGAGAAGGCCACTGCCATTCAGTCAATTTTGACTCATGGCGACCCCCAAAGAGTTTTTAAGACTGTAAACCTTTACGGAAACAGGATGTCTCAACTTTCTCTGGCAGAGCAGCTGGTGAGTTTGAACTGCTCATCTTCTGGTTAATAGCTGAGGGCTCTAACCACCACATCACCAAAGCACCTTTTAATATAGAGAGCGTATTTTAAAATCTACAAATTCTTATTTGTCCACAAGAGGGCAAAAGGTATTTTTTCATAATTTAAAGCCACTTCTTCCATTATTAACATTCATACTTATATTAAGTTTTCCAGTTCAGAAAGTAGCTATAACTTAGAATTAATCACTTTAGTAACTTAAGAAGTACAAGCAAAGAAATTTAGTACAATGGTAAATGGCAGAAACATATCAAGATATCCAACTTGATTTACAATCACCTAAAACAATGGAACAATGACAAAGAAGGGGAAGACAGAAGTCTGTCAGGTAAACATCTATTTTTAAAAAACTGCCCAAAAAACTGCTACAATGAGACCTAATGAAGATGAATGTGATACTTTATATTTTCTTGCTGCATCACAAATTCATGCTGAGTTTATTATGCAGCTTTGGGCAAAAAAATTGTATTTCTATATGCTAAGTATTAATTAAATTACTTTATAAATACCTGAGGGTTTTCAAGTATCCTTTTTACTCCCTTAATTAAATTACCAAGGTACTTGGCACGTTCAGGACTGCTAAATAAGGACCTTCTTGCAGAAGCAAACTGAACTAAACATGAAAGTGCCTAAAAACAACAACAAAATTTATTTCAATTTTAAAAGCATCCATGGCTACATGTAATGAATACAAGTCTTCACATTCAAAATTTTTCATTTTTAAAAAAAGCATTACAGAATCTAAAAATAATGAAAGCTAAATATCATCAACCACCATCACCACTCATAATCCTTCTACCCCACCATTAAAATTCCTAACTGTGTGTATTCCCCTCTAATATTTTATCAAATACCAAATCTGCTAGAACAAGTGCCTGCACAAGTGTATGTTCAAAAGGCTTTCCAACTGATTCTAATGGCTAGCTCTATTTGAGAACCACTGAGGCAGGTGTTCTACCAAAAAGAAAATAAGATTTTATGGTGGAATATATGAAACTCTGCACATTATGCACTGTAGTATCCTGCAAAGGAAAAGAAATACTTTATTTACTGTCCCAAACTTATTTAGCCATGGAAGATTCTATCCATATTATTCAATTAATATCTTTAGAAAAGTTTATAAAATGCTGCTAGAAGAATTACATACCCTATAAATTCCTAAACAGTATCTGGCATAGCTGCCTTCCTAACTTCTTCAATACTGTACCAGACAATCTCACTACTTGGGTCCTTAATCCTACTACTGGTATTCATTGAAGTCAGTCTGATCATTGACTGACAGACCTCCAAATTGGCAACTTTCAGTCCAAAATGGCCTATATAGGTTTTGTTTTGGTCCACATATGTTTGTTTGCCAACTTTTTTTTTTTAATTAGAATGTACTGTCAATATTTACATATTTAAGATAGGAGATTCTGCACGTGAAAAATCTTTGGCTCTCTTGGCAAGTGTGAGAATAGGGACAAAAATTAGACCATGCCCTTTTTAGATGTTCCAACAGTTGGCCACAGCCCCTGGTGTTAGAAATAAAATATAAAAATAAAAACCCTCCCTAAACAATTCTGATATGCAGAAGGTTTGGGAACTACTAGTATATTAAAAATAGCCAGAGTGTTTGGGCCAAAAACAGCTGGATTTGAATCTCAGCTCTAATATTCCTTTGTTGCCAATAAATGTCACTTTCTCTCAAAGCAGTTGTTTCGTATTTTATATGTTAAGCGCTGGTACCTTTCATGTTTCGTCCAAAACATAACTGTACATGAAACCGTAGTTTTTAAACAATAAAAGCAAGACTATGCTGGTTTAAAGACAGAAAGCTTGAGCTCTATGGTACCACCTTGAACATTAATGCCCTGTAAAACCCAGCGTGAAAACCAAAACCCTAGGTTCAAGATGAGCCTTTTTTTTTTTTTAATTTATTTTAAAAAGGAAGTATTTTGTTGAACCTATTTCTCTTATAGGAGACACTGTTGTTGTTGTTGTTAGGTGCCATCGAGTCACCTCCAACTCATAGTAACCCCATATAAACAGAACGAAACACTGCCTGGTCCTGTGCCAGCCTCATGATCCCTGCTATACCTGAGCCCATCACTGCAGCCACTGTGTCAATCCATCTCGTTGAGGGCCTTCCCCTTCTTTGCTGACCCTCCACTTTATGCTTGGTAAACAATTATACTGTTGATTTGCACCTTAAATCTGGAACATCTTTTCCCAAGAAATGACATTACAGTTCCTTAACTTTATTTGTGCAAGCTTTGATGATTAAACTGGTAACTTTTTTTCTTTTTTTTTTTTGAATCTTCCTGGTCCCTGTTTTAGATTCCACAAATATAAGACCCACAGTCACAAAGGTCAACATAATGGAAGAGTTTCAAGAAATTTTTTACCCTGAATTTGATTCAAAAAACAAATGAACACCTGGAGTTGTTCTTTTCTTACAGGATCATAATGCGATGAACACAAAATCAAGTGAGTGGATCCACTTCACTCCTCCTTCATAGAGATCTGGTGAAGGCTGCCTGACAAGCCTAAGATACGCAGCTAGGAAGGTTGAAGAAAGAATCAGAGAGAGAATAAGAGAAGAGAAGATGCAGGTGAGTGGCAGATGGTAGCCTGAGGCCCAGAAGAAAAAATAGGGACTGAATAAGAAGGAAGATGTAGAGACTGATAGGTTTTCCTGGCTCTCGGCAGGGGCTAAATCAACAGTAATTGGTTCTGGGCTCGACCCTGAAATGGAATGGACTAGAAATATGTATCCCAGGAAATTAAAAAAAAAAAAAAAATTTATGAAAGGTAATCACTAAACATTTGGAAAAACCCAATCAAGTATGTAGTATACAAATCAAATTTTTTAGAAGTATATGTGACCCCTTACTTCAATGACCCAGGTACTTTTTAATGAAATATTGAATAATTTTTACTTACTAACTGAGACAGTAGTGGTGGAAACGAATGATACAAATTGAAGAAAAGATCCAGTGTTTCTGGTTCCAGGAATACTGGGGGGGGAAAAGAATTATTTTTTCTCCTAATACCATTACTTGTAATCCACGAGGTACTTTTTCCTTCAGTGATCATTAAAAAAAAAACCTCACTGCCATCGAGTCAACTATAACTCATAGAGACCTCCACTGGGTTTCCAAGGCTGTAAATCTTTATAAAAGAAGACTGCCTCATCTTTCTTCAATGGAGTGGCTCATGGGTTCAAACCACTGACCTTTTGGTTAGCAGCCAAATGCTTTAACCACTGTGCCACCAGAGCTCCTTGATCATAACATACTAAGATATTATCACACAAAACAAGAACTCCAAGACTTCTGCATGTGGTCACTCTTTTTGTTAGGCCAATTTTTAATTCCCAGCTATTTTCTTTTTAAAGATAAAATAATCCAGAGATAGAAATTAACTACCTAAAATGTTATGTATTTTTCTGCAGCATCTATAGTTCCTACCAGGAGAAGCTTCTGTTTTCACTTGAGGTTGCGCTATCTACTTCCATAGTGATACCGCCCCAGAAACCCAACGAGGGGTCGCTATGAGTCGGGTCCAACTCGACAGCAAATAACAACAACAAAAAAGTAACATTAACGTTGTTTAAAAATTAAATACTACCCAAAGTAAACAGTAATAAAAAGCTTATACAGAAAAATAGCTGACCCTGTCCATTCAAATTACCTTTTAACTTTTTCAGTCATATTTATGTCCATGTTCCCAAATAATATGCTGTACTCTACTCGATTTTATTGTTTTACTTTAGATATCAACTGAATTCCGATGACAGTATGACAGTCATATGAGGCTTTAGCTCTCTAATGACTCACCCTTCAACCCCATAACCCCTACCACTCTCTCTGCAATCCATCCTCTCTCCACTATATCACAATCCATCCATAATATCACAATTTGGGGTTAAAATAAATTCTTAGTAAGTCCATTTTCCTGGATTCATACCTTCCACTTTCTCAACTTATACATTAAGTTTCCTGAGAACAGGTACATACGGTAAATTTGGGGATAGACTGGATGTTCAAGAACATCTTTATTCTATCGTGGTAACTGGGATCTAGTTTAAAAATTATTTTTCCCTCAGAAATCTGAGAATATAGCTGCATTTCTTCCAGCTTCCAGTACTACTGTTGAAAGTTTAATACCATTTTATTCTAATCTGTTGAAGGTGACTTAATGTTTTCCTTCTAGATTTTTTAATCTTTTCTTTATGCTATTTTCAAATGTCATGACTATGTGCCTTAGTGTGTATCTTTTTTCATTCATTAGGCTGGGTGCTCGGTAGGACCAATCAGTCTAAAAATTTATGTCCTCAGTGATGAGAATTTTATATTATTTGTTTGCAAAGCCCCCCCACCCCCTTTTTTGCCTCTTCTTTTTAGAACTCCTAAAATCAGATAGGAGCTCTGGTAGCATAGTGGCTAAGACACTTGCCTGCTAACCAGACGGCTGGCAGTTCAAACCCACCAGCCACTCCTCGGAAGGAA